CCCTCCGGGCAGACGAGGACGGGGGGGACCGGGGCGCTGGCTTGCAGCGGTTCCGGGAGGATGGGGAGGGCAGCGGGGTCGGGGGGGACCAGCAGCTCAGAAATTCCCTGACATAAAAATCCCACGGCCGCTGCGGAGCGCGGCTCCGGGAGCCCCCAGGCCCGTAAGAACCGCATCCCCAGCAGCCTTCCCGGCCAGGGCGGGCCGTGCAGGAGTCCCACTCTTGCAACATCATTTTCCCTTTGATTTGGTTAGTCCAACTCTGAAAGCCTAAGGGCCTGCAGCAAATAAGAGCTATTATGTATGAGTAATGCTTTGCTTCTTATTTATACACAGCACCCAAGTAACAAGAAGCTGTCTTGTAATTTCTTGCTGGAGTTTCTCGAGAACAGTCACAGACATAATGAGAACTGTGGAAATTGGTGTCTGTGTCGTTGCTGTCGGTTCTCGTGTCACATATCATACCCTCTGCCAGAAAGAACAGACATGCCAGGGTTACAGAGAGTAGCACTTCATAAGGGTTTGAATAAACGCTCGGGAAAAGGGCACATACACATGCAGTAAGATATCTCAATGCCTGCTTCGGTTATTTGACAAGTAATTTCTAGAGTTTGGATCAATTAAAATAACCCCTGTATCTTTACAGTCATTATCATTATAATTATTATTACATTATGCCATCTAGCAGGTTACTTGGGAACTGCAAGTAACCACAGTGACCAGTGTCAAATTACTAAAAGCACTTGCCCATTTGATTACGTTTCAAAATGACCCCCCGGTCGGAGGGCAGCGCAGCCAGCCCTGTGCCCCGAGGCTGCCCCGCCGCAGCTGGGACGGGACGCCCGCCCGCACCGATGGTTTCCAGGGGCCGGGGGTGGGTGTGGAGCTGTAACACGCTGCCTTTCCTGTCTCCGGCGGATCTAGCGCAGCACTTTTGCAGCGTTAGGAAGGCTGCTGCTAGTCCTAAGATGTGAACGTGCTACGGTCCCATTTTCCTATGGGAAAACAGCAGTCGGAAAGCCGGATGGACCGAGCACGGGTGTCAGCACACACAAACCCTAGCACAGCTGGGGCGAGCTGGCTGGGCCCCTTGGCATAAAGCCCAGCGCCCACTGAGGTGCCTGCCTGGGCT